TTTTTTTTTTTTTTCTCTCTCGATGAAAAAGTTCTCGTCGCTTTTAATCGGTCTCCACTTTCCGCGCGAAGAAGTATCCCTAAAAAAATTATAAACGCATCTTTGGCTCCCCCCGAATGCTTCCTCTTTACACCACGTCCTAATAATGGTCTGCATTCTCGTGCACGCTGTAACAGATCATCAGAAATATTTTATTAGAGAAGAATGATTAATATTTGTATATAATAATAATAATAATTATTATTATTATTAATTATGATTAATCGATATCATTTTAAATTCTCTGATGAGTCGCGATATCCTAAACATTATTATCATGCTTGAAAAATCTATCTTTACGAAAAATTGCATTGACAACATTTTCAAAAGGTATTTATTTCGATATAATTACATTATATAACTCTACTAACGATCAGTACAGTTAATATTATTGTGCAAAATTAGAAGAAAAAAAGCTCGCAAATTATAAAGGATAGGAATGAATTGCTTCAACTCGACGACCGATCGCTAAATTTTCGATTACATTTCCTTCTTATATCCATCTCGCAGACGTCCACGTTCTATTCTAAGACAAATACAATTTACAACAAAGAACGAATCGAACACATTTATTCATATTTAACATTCCAAGCAAATACACATAACCTCGACCATAGTTAGAATCGATTTTTTTATTTAAATTTAAACACATATTCGTAACATCTACACGGATAAAATAAATTCTGTGAGAAGCTCGAAAGAAAATTACAAGTTACGCAACGCGAGAGAACGTCACGCGAACGATGGAGGCCGCAGCGGGATTTGATGTTAGTTCCATAAAAGCAGGATATTCTTGGGAAGAGAAGGCGACGATCGCGAGCGCCTTTGTAGGATGATTAGTGATTCCTTGTTATATCGAAAGTAGAACAACAAAATCACTAGTCTTCCATGCAACGGCGCTCGATTTCCCATTTTTGCTTAACTCGTTCAGCTTTAAGTGGTAGTAGTAGCAGCAGTAGCAGACGTGTTCTCCAACGCCGTGTTCTCCACCTTCGATTTCCTCCACCTTCGCGACGATTATTATTATTATTATTATTTTATTTATTTATTTATTTTTTTTTTTAATTCCCCCTGTTCACTTTTCTCACGATTTCTTCTCGCATTGGTTAGTCGGGGTTTTTAAGTTAATTAGTTTAGTCCTCGTGCATGGATCGTGTGATTCGATGCGACCAGAAGCGGAATTTAATTTCCCTCTGTTCAATGGCGTTTACTTGTCGAAAGTTATTATAGTAGGGCGGCTCCTGGACGTGATCGCTTCGAGGTAATAAGCTAAGGATGTTAATGCGTGTGATCGTGTGGCGTGAGCATGTGAGCACTACGTAATTCTCGATTTATTAATATTAATTTAATGAGAAAGCTAGAATGGAGAATTTTCAAGATGTGAAGAAATTTGGATCGATATTTTTTTTTTTTTTCTTTTCTCTTTTCTTTCTTCAATTTGGAGAAAAGTGACACGTTAAAAAGTTAAGAGTGGAGAATCGCGTTTCGCGCGGGGAAAAGTGGGAAAATCGATACTTACGGTAGATATGGAACGCGTGTTTGCGCATTATAAGCTATCCATTGTGACGAGATAGAAGCGTGTTTGTACAAAAGCTCCCTACCCACTTTGCAAAGACTTGGAACGCACACGTTTACGCGCCAGGGATTCATTTCTAAAGTTACTTTACAAAGCGGATTACTCCATATTTCGCGATTGAACAGAGACGCAGAATTAATGGAAACTCGTTTACAAACAATGATACGAATATGCCAGCCAGTAGACGCAATATACATTGTAAGAATGATGTTAATTATTTGTTAATCGACGTTAATACATTTGTCACATGTTAAAATGCTTCAAGAGTTGCACAATAGGGCGCAAATGGGAGAGTATGGGTTAAAAAAAAAATAATAAAATAAAATATCGCACATAGCGAAACAATTACCTCTGCTGAAGCAGGTACTGAGCCATTTGTATCTGACTGGGTAATCCGGTTATAGTGATAATGCGATCGTTACTGCCAGACAACGGTTCGTCTATAGTAATTCCAGCACCGCTATCTGATCTTACTTTTCGAATTCTGGCGCCTCCCTTGCCGATAATTGCCCCAGCAAGCTGTTGATCAGATTAAACGTTAAGAATTATCCATTGTACGCTAATTCGTTCTACTATTAATTACCTATTATCGTTTTCTTTGAAAGAAGAGAAAGTCTTGAACTCGTAGAGAAAGTATTGAACAAAATTTACTTACGTCTTTAGGAATGGTGACTTGAGTAGTGGTCTTTCCACCCATGTTGCCCTGATTTCCTTGATTATTGCCACCCATAGGTGGGCCGCTCATTCCCGAGTTAGCACCGCCACCCAAACCGTTTGGCGCGCCTCCTTGCATACCCCATCCATCACCTGCGTGAAACACAACGATCGGCACGATGATAAATATTCTCCAAGCCGAAGCGAAGACGGCCGTCCAACGCATCGCTATTCATTCTCTAATCTCTAACAGGAAGATTCATCACGTGATTCATCCCATATTAAATTTTACCACGATTCAAATTATTTACCGTGATTCATTATAATGACCATTCGTTAATTCCATCAACGATTCGAATAATTCTCAACTATTAAGACATTTTAATCGTACAATTCAATTAACTCTCCATTACACTTCGCTACTTGGATATTCAATATCCATTTTTCTTTTTTTTTTTTTTTACATAAGTAATAATCATATATACATTATTCATATTTATTCAAATCAATTCTTATATTTGATATCGAAATCACCTGATTACATTTATTCTAAAATTACTTAAGTCGGCAATGATCATTAATATTTTTTTTTTTTTTCTTGTAATTTCTAACAACGTAAATCTACAACGCTTCGCTTCGTAACAGAGGATTTGCTCGATCCCAAACGATTTGAACCTCCTCTTACCATTGTAATTTCCAGCGGCATATGGGGGCGGGCCACCCCTATTGCCACCGTATCCGCCTCGTCCGCCTTCGTATCCTCCACCGCCGCCTCCTCCGCGAGAATTGCCTCCGTAGCCACGATCAGGTGGCCCGCCAGACATGCCACCGCCTCCGCCGCCTCCTCCGCGCGGCCCACCTCTCGGCGGTGGCGGGAACCCGCGATTCATGTCGCCCGGCCCGGCGCGGTTGTCGCGTCGAGGTGGCATACCTCCGCCGCCGCCGCCGCCTCCGCCACCACCGCGCCCTCCAGGGCCCCCAAAGCCACCCCCTTTCCCTTGGCCACCGTCGCCGGTCCCATAGCCGCCGTAGTCGTCCGCGTAATAATCGTCGAAGTTGTGCGGATCGTAAGGGTTGTTCACTCCCTTCAGAGGCGACTGAAACGAATTAAGAAAATATATTAGGAGGGGGGTTACGTTTCTTCCGTTCTTCAATATCTTTCTTCCTGTATCATACATGCGTAACCTCATCTTTTTTCTTATATATATATATATATAAATCTCTGTTCTCCAGATTTTGTACTCCCAATTTTAATTCCTATTAACTCACGGTTTTAATAGTAGCAATCAGCTCGCGAATGCACTCGATGCACGTGGTCGGTTTTCCGCAGATGCTGATCAGCCGGTCAGTGCTATGAGGACAGCAGTGAGAATAAATCTTGATCCTTGCCCCAGTTTTCTGCAATACCAAACGAATACAGTTAAAACGAGAGGAACGATGTACAAACATCTCTTTGATTGGATAATTCGAACAATCTCCTCAAAAAAGGAAAAGATATATGTACATATATATTATATTCGAGAGGTGATATTTAGCGACTCTTATAAAGAACCATCAAGCGGAGAAAGTGAAAGCTTAATCGCGGTCGATCATGGCTGTCGCGTTTCTCTGCTCTATAACTCGACGTTGCGCGATTCTTAGGCGCCAATGGGCGGATCGCGTGCTTCGAGCTGGTTAACAGCCAACCCCGTTGCTTCTCGACACTGTGCTTTCAGAGACAGCAGTCGGGGATTAAAAGCGGTAAACGTACCCCATTCGGTCACCTTTAATCTGTTTCCCTCTTTTTTCCCTCCGCCTTCAATGTTCTTTTTTTTTTTTTTTTTTTTTTTTTAGAATCGCTTTAACGTAATTATCGTGCCAGGATCTCTGGTTTCTCCGTAGGAACAGGGGATGTAAAAGGAAGAGGAATATCTCGCGAGCAAAGGGGATAATTAAAATTAGCAATCGGTTTCGATTTCTCGTCCACCCACGAAGTCGTGGAACGAATCAAAAACGATTTTCTCTTTTTCTCTCTTTATTCTTTTTGCCTGCTTCGTGCGAAAGAGAGAGAGAGACACAAGACACATCGGAGTGGATACATCGCTTGAAGCGAGTACGAAACAAAAACGAATCGCGCGAAAGAGCTTCGATGGAATTAGCGTGATTATTCGCCGTGATTATTCAGGGGGGTAATAAGAGCAGGGCCAATGATTAGATATTGATTGAAACTTTGCCGTTCGTATTCCGTCTAATTTGACCATTCTCGACGTATTTTCGATTCAATTTTACGATAAAAAAATTTAACATTTTTCACGGATATTGACGAATCAATATTTTTTTCCTATTCTACGCGTTGTATAATTATTGTTATTACTATTATGTGTTATGTAAATATATGTACATACGTAAGATATACTTAACATATATAAATATTTAACTATACATTTATATTTATTTATATATATGTGTGTGTATGTATACGTGTGTGTATATATATATATATATATATATATATATTTATCATCGTATATTTGCATTGTAAATTGAATATAAAAAAATTAAAAAGGCAACAAATTGATATAATTATTGGCCAAGAAAATTCGATATAAACTACTTCCTCCATAAATCGAAAAATTAGAAGAAACAGTATAAAAAAAAAAAAAAAAAAAAAAAAAAATTAAATAAATAAATTCCAAATACGCTAATTACAATCGGTGAGATTTATTGTTCAACACATTCTTCTCTATCGAGGAAAAATCGAGGGATGGGAATTCAATCTACAGATACATTCTCGGCAATGGATATTCGACATTGTGTGGAAATTGCACCGTTTAATTACGTAGATCAAAGCGAACGGCATCGTCCGCTTCCCTCGCCTCCATTCATCCGTTTCCAAATGCAGAGACATCCGGTCACGCAGAACTGACGAATCGCTTTTACACGAGTGGCAGTGAGACCAGCTACTGATCACTCTCAAACCTCCCAATTTCCACTTTGTTTCTTTCGAGATATTAGATGCCCTCGGCTACCACCAACCGATCGTTTCAACATTGATTCTTGCCCTCCGATTGCATTTCGTGAAATGGAAATAAAATTGGAAATAGTTTTTCGGGTTTTGTATAAGTAATCGAATGAATAATTAAACAAGACCATAAAAAAGGAATTTCACCTGTATAAATATTCATCAATAATTAAAATTTTGATATCGATCAATTTTAAATTTCAATATATCAACGAAATCAATTGAATTTTTATCTATCTAATGTTTGAGAAATATGAAAAATATATTTTTTTCACACATATATTTTTTTTTCCCCCCCCTCGATATATCGAATTTGTAAATAAAGACCTTTCGTATCTTTCAATTCTTGTTTGATTAGTATTTCTTTTGCAAATTTAAACTTTAGACCGATAACTATTAATAAAATTGTAAACAGTTGTGTAACTATTTGCTAAGATAATGATGAAAAAAATCCTCAATCTACGGTTATCGTACAGGCATTGCAATACGATAAATAGCAACGGAGATGAGAAAGAATTAATTATTATATTAATTAAAGAGATTGGTAGAACGATATGAAAAAAAAATATATATATATATATAATACTGTAATAAATAGAACATTCTATCACAATGCATGAAAACCAGTCAAAAAAAAGAAAAATAAAAAGAAAAAAAAAAATTCGGCATTATGTTGTGTCCGAGCGATTCACACTTTTGTTGCGTTTTCCACGGTGAAAATTTATATATTTATTAATCCACCATATCCCAGAGAAATAAACCAATATCTATTGGTTACCTGTATTAACGAAACGAACACAATCTCGATAGTCTCATCAAGAATTTATCGATCGACAACGCACTTCCATTCTGTGTAAATGACCACGCAAACAGTCCATGCATTTTCATTGAATTCATTATGCGAGGATCCGCGAACTTCGACACTGTGAGGAAAGAGGAAATGCTAACTCAGTTAGTTTTAAGCAACGATAATACTCGTTTAGAATATCTTATACGTTGACTGAAAAAAAATTTAAAATATCTTGTCTATTCAACCTTGTCGATTCGTTGAAAACTTTACACAGGTAAGCTTCAATTTTTATTTACTTTGGCGTATATACGTGAGTTTTTTTTTTTTTCTTTTTTTAATAATATAAGAATTTTTTCGTTTCTATTTTTATTTGTATTATATTCGTGGAATATAATTTTTCTATCGTTACAAAATTTCGATCGATTGAACAGACAATCGTGACACTATGATGATAAAACTTTTTCTAAAAATCTTGTGGGAATTGGATGAATGCGATTAAATCATAGAGAAATATTAAAATTCTTTTTCTGTAAAAATGATAATAAAAAGAAAAAAACGTGATCCATCAAATTTGAAACAGTTGCAAGACTTTTTTCATTAAAATTTATTCCTTGAGGAAACGTTACCAATAATAAGTCGTGATCACCATGTGAAATAAAAAGAAATGACCGAGAAACCGCCTTTCTCGAGGCAAAAAAGGTTAGTGCCTTCCACTGACTTTGCTTGGAACGATCCACGTCACAAAACGTGTTCGCTTTTTCATACGCCAGACGTGTTTCGCGAAGTTTTCCGAGAGTTGTTTTCCACTTTTAACCAAAACTTAATTTTATTTCGAGAAAACAATAGACTCGACGAAGTGAAATTTCGTTTCAATTTCGACCTAATCGATACGCGATGTCCCATTTTTTTCGAACCTGTCTTCGAAACGCGTTTTTATCCTTAGAGGAATAATTTCAGACTCGACAGGTAAGCTCGAAGAATTGACTGATTTTATTATTTTAACGTAACATCACGCGAGTTATTCAAGATTTATATATCGTTACATTCAACGTAATTACAGGATATGAGTTATCATATATATCGAAACGTGGAATCTAATAGTAATCGTGACATGTATATTTTGTAGTGTAACAACAAAGTCTTTTTTTCCTTCAAAATAAAATCTCAACAATATGTAATAATATAATATGTATAAGATTACATATTATTACTGAAAAGAAAAAAAGATTTATAATTTGATTTTACATCGCATTCACATTCCTTAATATTCTTCTCTTTCTAGTATTCGATATTTCTTGACATTTTGTCACTCTTGTTCTTCCATATGAGATATTAAATTTATTTTTTTCTTATTATTTAGATTTCAAGAATTTTTTGCTGTGAATAAAAGCTGAAGAACAAGATGTCGAAAACTTTTACAGCGGAAGAAGTAGCGAAACACAATCATGCTAAAGATCTATGGATCGTGTATGAAAAAGGTGTGTACGATGTTACAAAGTTTCTAAGCGAACATCCAGGCGGGGAGGAAGTGTTGCTGAATCTAGCTGGACAAGACGCGACACAATGTTTCAACGACATTGGACACTCGGGCGAGGCTATACAGCTTCGTGAAACCTACAAAATAGGAACGGTTGTCGGCTCTGTTTCTGCAACATCATTTAGTGGTACGTTGCCTATATTTTTTTCTTTTTTTTTTTTTTTTTCCACTTACGAATACTGTCAGTTCATTTAAAGAATATCGAAATAAAAAAAAAAGAATTTTTGCATCATTTTTGATCTTTAAATTATACACAACAAATTAATATCAAATTACGAAATAATATTCACGAAAAAACGATCTTTCTTTGTTCAAGAGTTAAAAGTGCAAGACACGACGATAGATGACGATAATTGGGAATATCAGCCACCGAAATACGAAACGTCACCATGGCTTAAAGTGATTATCGCAATTGCTGTCGTCATTTACGCCTATATATTTTACTATTTTTGGTATTCATAAGGAGGATAAAATCAGAAGGAGATTGAGATTGTTATAAATAAAAATACTTGTATTTTTCAAGAGAGTATATTTTTCATTTCTTTGTTTAAATCTTCCTATTGTGACCAGATTTATGCGACTTATTAATTAATATTGAAATCATTTTTATCCATCAAAATATTTTACAAATTCTTATGAATATCATGAAATTAATTTTTATCAAAAGATCGAGAAAGAATATTCTGCGATTTAAATATCTTGTCTGAATATTTAAAATTAAATTTAATTTAAATCAATGTCTATTTTATTCTTAAAGAATATTAAATATAAATATTTTGATAATCTTATCAAAATGTTTTTATATACGATAAATTTCGATCTATTTTTCGATCTATTTAAGAATACAGATGAAACGAAATACTATCCTTCAACATCTGGTCAAACTAGATTCAATCTGTTTCTCGATATTCTGGCACGTCAACCGCGCGTTTAAATTAAAATTCGTGTCACGAAAATTCAGCCGAGCAAGATGTGCTCTCTCCTCTATCCAGGCACGCGATCAATAAAACACTATTTTTTTTTCTTCCCTTTTTTATATCTATATCGCATCTATACATATACTTCTCAGTATTGTAACAACGTGTTCATACGAACTCTATGAATAGAAATCGTATTTCAAATCACATGTAATATGATTTTTATGATTCCCAATAATTGCCATCTTATTCAAAGTCAACAAACATTGTTAGAATTTGATTAAAATCGATTATCGTTCATTCTAGAAAACCTTTGATATAAAAATTCTGCCGATGTAGCATTGAATCCAGTATGGATCTTATCATGCAAATATTGTTTATTACCAATTAAAAACTTGTATATGCATGATGTATATTATATATATATAATATTATATATGATAATATTATACAAAGTTCAGATGACATGCAAAAATATTTGTGCGTCTTATCAATTAATATGAATGGATCTTGATCGAATACGAGTTCTTTCGCCATCATGACTGGCTAGTTTTCAATTGAGTGCAATTAAAGCTTGAAAATCTATTTCATTTCTAATGTATTGAAATTTCCATATTACGAAACTATATACGCATATAAAAATAAGCAAGTTAAGAATATAATTATTTCTTTTTAACATAAATATTTATTTTTGGTTCATCCAATAAAGATGATACGGTATAATGTGAAAGATAAATCGATATAGAAATCAATGATAAAAACAAAAATAAATATTTCGTCGGGAAAATATATATTTATTTCAAATAAAGTTTTAATAAACATCATACCATAAAAATCACAATTTTCCATTGAAATAAATCATAATACGTTTCTTCATACATTGTTCATAGTAATATAATGATCATTGTAATGAAATATAAATATTTGAACAATGTATTATTACTTGGGACTATCATTAACATGTATGAGTTAAAATAATAGTTAATTTCCATAATTTTAAAATTTATTGATATTTTATATTAATAAAAATTCATCTCTGCGACGAGATTTATCACGTGTTAAATGAACCGTTTAATAGTAAAATTTTCAAACGACCGTTTAAAAATCAAAATGAAATAAACAAATTATAAAAACGTTTCGAAAATTACAAATTATTATCTCAATCAATTGTTACACCAATTTTTTGTGAACGTAATTACAGAGAGAATTAGAAAATTCCATGGGATCGATATTTTCGTTTAATTAATTATTGTAATGTAACTTCATCGGTATGACAGCTATATTTCAATCTCTTTCCAACTCGATATATCATTTTAAATCTATCTTTTTCTGTTATTTATAAATTTTATTCAAATATAAATTATAATTTTTTCAATAAAAAATCTAATACGTTTAAATCGTAAAGAATTGATATTTTGTATAACATGCACATATTTAAATGTATTTCCGCTCTTTATCGTGAAAATTATGATCTCATGATCGAATAATGTTCATGAAAATGTACATACAATAATGTCAATGCACTAAGGCATCGAGTACACGATAAAGTCGCATTCACAATGGATGCGGTTGCACTATATGGTCAGTCCATAGAGAGTTCTCGTTGAATGCAGTTGCATGCGGCTAATGCAGGTCTGCATGCGATGATGCGATCAATACCGAAAGTGAGTTCGAATTCAGACTAATTTTCGACGATTATGTGAAAATGAATAAATATCAGATATGAACGAATACGAAAAATAGGTTATGTTCAATAAAGAATTTTACCTGAGAAATGAATTTAAAAACGTTATAACCTCAAAATTTCTTGATCTATCTTATGTCATGTTATTTCAGGAGTTAAATAAAGAAGAAAAATTAAAAGAAGATTATACCTCCGTAAATATTATAAACCATTTTTATTCTTTTCTCGGAAATGCCTTTTAACCTCATTCCGTTATGTTTTTTTGTTATAGAAAATTAACAACGAATATTTCCATTGGTATGATCAATAGAAGAAAACGTTTTTAATTATACATTATCAAATTCATAATGCGGTTTAAAAATAATTCACAATCGCATGAATATTATTAAAGCACAAAATGATTTTATTTTTTGTTGTCCACATTAATGTATAATATGTTTTTCGTGTTGTCTTATCGAAGATAATACTTTGAACCTTGTGCTCAATTATTTTTATGAAAACGATGTTTAAAATACGTCACGATATTGAATTTTTCTACGAATTTTTTTGAAATTTGAGTTACGATAAGCGAATTATTATTATCATATTATCGTAACATTCCTTTTTTTCTTTAATATACTTCATATTTTATTATTAACCAAACAAACCTGAAAACGAACAAACGAAATTTAAAATAATAATTTTTTGGAAAATATAATCATATTCATATATTATGATTAAAAAATGAAGTTTTTGCTTCTTTTTGCTTATATTAAAGTATGACAGCAAAGCATGACAGAATAAATTTCATTCGTCTCTGAATTATTTTTTATTTCTCTGTGTAAAATTTGAATAAAACATTAACAGAATATGAACGATCGATCAAACCATCTCATTAATATTTCTCAATCATTCAAATTCAAATTCAATATAAAATAAATATCAATATTTAAAAATCGTACAAATTGCAACTTAATTTCTCGATTATTTTCAACAACTAAGATTTTTAGGAGAAAAAAAAAATTTTACTCGCAAATTTTTAAAAAATAAATTTACGTAAGTATTGCATGAATTAAATTCAAATTCTACCGTATATTGTAGATAACTAAATATATATTAGCGTTCAACATAGTCCAATTATATTGTATACGTAAGTTGAAATAACCGGATTTCCATCTAATAAATATATCTATCTAACAATTCAAATAAAAAAACGTTAGAACATGCATCTCTCTTGGTTGGTTGTCGTTTCTTTTCGCACTGCGAATCGAGAAAGAAGACAAGTTGAACGAGTGGGAGTCGAAGATGATAAGGGGCCCATGGTGGGGCAGCATCTAGAGGGGGCAAGAATAAAGCTACTACGGACTGACCTGGTTCGTGGCAGTGTTTGTGCCGGTATAGCCTCGCGAGTAAACTCGTGGATCGTTCGTTCACGTTCTTTCCTTTATTGTTTCTTCTTCAAAAAAAGAAAAGAAAAGAAAAAAAAAAAAAAGAAAAAGAGAATACACAATCACGTCACAGTCACGCCACGCTACGGAGAGAATCGATCGAGGAATCCGTGGATTGAGAGCAGTCGAGCCACGAAAAACAGAAGCTGTATTTCCAACGCGATTGAAACGTAAACGAGAAGGTACGTGGTCAAGGAATTCTGGTTTTAACCATCACGGAAAGCAGTTTCGAACAAACAAAGGCATAGGAAGTGAACGAAAACGTGGTGACATTCGTGTGTCTCGTGAAACGTGCCATTCAGGCCAAAAACATGGCCGACACGAGAAAGAGGCGCTTCGATCGAGCGTTCTTCTCGGTTACTGATTCGCTCGAATGCCAAGCCGACTTCTTTCGAATAGGTATCTATATTTTTCATCGTTGAAGACTAATTTACACAGTGTGTGTGTATAAAGTCTACACGATATGTCGCGTTATTTTTTAATATATTTAATGATAAAATGACAATATTTCTTTATTATTTTAAATTATAAAATTATATGAATTATATATTTGTGGAATTCTATATAATCGAATTTAATTTTCATTAGAGAATTATAACTTCTCGATACGATATTCAACTATTTTAGTATTATTCAAGATAGACATTTGCAATGAGTGCAAAGAATGACGTAATCTCTATACGTGGTCTTCAATCATTGGTACAAACATTCTTTTTATCGAATGTAATACTCTATGAAATCATTTTATTACATTTCTTTCCGTTCTATAAGAGAAACTCAATATTTAATTATATCATGCTAATTAAATTATTCGATCGATCATGCCACTATTCGAATATTTGTCCTCGTTATTCATTTTTTCTTTTAAAAATCTTAAAGTATCTTAAAGCATTTTCATTTAGCGGGTTCGTAAAAAAATAGTTACGATACTGAGACACTAAAAAAGCAAACATTCAGCTTAAATTGATTTAATAATCTCCAATGACCTTCGCGTAATCATGCTTGATAGCGTAGAAAATTTGCTATCGTGCAAATTGAAATTTGTTTTATAGTTAAAATATTTATATCGATCTCTTTTTCACTTTTTTTAACAAATCCTATTAATTTTTGACTGTTAATTTATCAGGTTTAATTCAATACTTGAACTTATATTTTCTTTTACAGAATAATATTTCTTGATAAAATTTTACTTAGTAATATGTAGAATTAAATACAAGATATATAAATGTAATATAAAATAATTAAATCAATTATATCAGAGATAAAATTTATGTAAAATGGAAAACAACTTCGAAAATTACATCGAGATATTTAAAATTGAAAAATTTACGATAAAATAAATCAAATTTCACATATAGATATATATAATTTTTGTATTATATGATTACAGACATAAATATTTAATATCTAATATTTTTAAAATATTTTTCTATCGTTAAATAAACTGATTTGATTATTCTATTCTCTAAAAAATTATGCATAATTGTTAATTATTTTTCGGAAAAATGATTCGCCACATAATGAAATATTTGAAGAGAAAAGACTTTTATCGCGTCACGGGTACAAGAACAATCAACTCGATAAATAACGAACATCAAGGAGAATAGGGAAAAGACTTCGATAAAATCGTTATTGATTATCTGTCGAAAAAGAACGTTCCGCTGAGTAATGAAACAAATGAGAATATCGTAGCTATATCGATCATACATTCCACGAAATCAACATTTTTCTTCCAGTGTCCTCGTTTGTCTAAGAAAAAAATGACCATTTCATAAGAAATGAGTCGCGTATTCGAATAGTCATGCAATATGACGTAACTTATCATCCGATTATAGTAATTAGTAATTGTGCTAATAATTACCATAAATACGTAATAATTACCATAATGACAATCAATGTTTATATTTTAATTGTAAATTGAAAATATGTGTATATTTTGAAATTATTATCAATTTTTAAGCGAAAAATATAAATTATTAATTTACTCTAATTTATGTTTATCGTATGGTCGAACAATTACAGGAAAAAAAATAAATTTTTTCAATTCATTTTCAATTCAATTCATTTCTTTATTTTAAATTTAAGGATAAAACGTATAAAAAAAATTAAGTTGTTCAATAAGTGTGTTCGTGCATTAATAAAATTACAAATATACATTTAAATTTTTTTATATATACTTTTTTTCTTCCTCAATTTTCTCAAAATGTACGAAATAAATTATATAACATAATATTATATATAAATTCATATATCTTGAAACTGAAGCGATAAATGGAGATGACGTAAATTTAAAATCTAGAAACTTTTTTTTAAATGGAAAAAAAAATCATCTCGTGCTAATCTGTACTTAAAAAATATATCACGTACTTAAGAGATTCCAGATTATTTGCATATATCAAAATTGTGTAAAGAGAAAAAAATATTTGAATATTTATATGTATATATTATACACTTTCTCAATCTCGATAAATGACAAAAGATTAAAGTTCAATCTTTTGTATCATTATTATCAAATATATCTTCTAATCGCTTAATTACATTATCTAAAAAAATATCTCGAATAGGTAAATTAAAAAGTAAATTAATAAGATATCATATCTCATAAGATAATGATAATTAAACGCAATTTCTCAGTCGATTGCATAATGATGATTAGTTTTAGTCGATAGTTATTATCGATAGTTGTTTAAAAGAAAAAAGAAAGAAAAAAAAACGTCATAAACCAAAGTTGAACGAATCATAACCCATCGTATCGGTGATTTCAGAATTTCCCCTCGAATCGAAGAGCCGAGCAAAACGATGAGCAAGCAATTCACGAGGAGCGAAGTTGCCAAACTCAGCAACAAGGACAAGACATTGATAATTCTACATGACAAAGTGTACGATGTCACGAGTTTTCTAAACGAGCATCCAGGCGGTGAAGAGGTACTGTTGGACCATTCGGGCATCGATGGTTCCGAGGACTTCGACGACGTTGGCCACTCCACAGACGCTTTTGACCTAATGACGAAGTATCAAGTCGGCGAATTGGTCGAGTCAGAAAAGACGGGCAACCTGCCTAAGAAGACCTGGACGAAGGATCATTTCAAATCTAACAAAACGAGTCAAGGGGACAATCAGGGGATGCCCACCACGATGGTTGTGTCCATTCTCGCGGTCCTAGCAGCGATCGTATACTTCGTGTACTTATAATTTCGTCAGATCAAATTCCAGTTCGTCAGTTCGTTTTATCGTTTTAAAAGAGTGCGAGAAGACGTGATAATCGATGATTAAGCGATTAAAGTGTGAACGAAAATTATCGTGACTTTTCTCAATTTTTCTTTCAATTTTTCTTTGAAATATTTAAATGGAATTAACGAAGCGAAGTCGAATGAAATTCTACTGACGTCTCTAATAGCTAGTCGTGGTTAACCGATTGTAACCGATGCATGTAACGAAGAACCACAACCAGTTTCTGCGCAACGATTTCGAATTTTTACTTGTAAAATAGAATAGAAAGAAATACGTGGTAGTTCTCTAATATCTAATCGACAGAAACACGTATTTTCCAAAGTTTTTTAAGTCGTTTTTCTGTTCCTGTTAACACATGTTAAGCGAATAAATCTTGTTTTTTGTACACCAGTCTTCTAATCGATCCAAAAATTTTACCAACGTCTCTCGTTCGATTCAATCGGGTCGACTGTATTCCCCCTCCATCGAATCTTTTCCAGACTTCTCTTCTTTACATATTTCTCCTAATAGGTCAACTACAGATAGCACGGAGAACGAAAAGTTTATCGTTGCAAGAAGAAAAAAAATTATAAATCGATCTTCGTATTCGAAGCTTCGCAAAGATGGGTCACGATCGACTCGTATTCGAACAACCGCAGATTTTCCAACTTAACCAACTTAATCGTTGAATCGAAGTCGAAAAGAAGCTCCATTTGAGCAGTCATTTGCATTCGAATAGGTCGCATTCAGAAAAGCCTTTCGTTACAAATTTTCAACGAAAAGAAACAGCCGATTCGATCGATCGGATGATCTTTCTTTCGTTCGAACGAATCTTGAAAAGATTATTCCTGTTTCTTCTCCTTCTCTCGGCCCGAAATTCGCCAATTCCCGTGGCTCTATGCAAACGAGGACACGATTGGTGCTTCGCGGATCACGTGGCACTAGAGCAAATGAAATTCCGCGCGATTCAACAATCGATCGTAAATCGTTCAACGGAGAATAAACAAATTTTTAATTCGCAGTAGAGAATGCTGAGAATGAAATCGTAACGCGAAATATTTAAGAATAATATTTTTTTTTTATCTTATCTTAGTTGATCCAATAACACGACTCCGATTAAACAAATTATCATCGGAATAACAAAAAAATAGAACAGTTCTTTGATTCTAAATTGAAGATTTGAAATATATATAATTTTTTTTATTTTATTCAAAATATCATACTATATGTTCAATTTGCATAATCCGATTAAACGAGAACGTTCAACAATTTTGTTTCTAAACAAGATAAAAAACTATTACCTCTACAATTTCCCGCTCGAATCGTTTAAACTTTATTAACCCTGGAACGACTGGCACAAACAGGCTGCGATGAATAATTCGGTACTAATTAGGAGAATATCAAAGGTATTAACGAAGCGGGACCGATTGTCAGTGTCAACTGGAGCGGGAGAATTTAACAAACGACGAGGAGAAAGGTCGAAAAAGGGATGGAGCATCGAAGGGTGGACAAAACCGGTTCCAAGAAACGCTGTTAAATCTTTTACATGTGTATTCTTTTATAATAAGAAAATTAATTGAGTACGCGCGGTACGATATTGTTCACAACAAGTTGTGGTGTTAAAGAAGAGGACGTGTTAGTTGATAAGATTAGGTAATAAATAACGTTATTATCGTACAATACTATTATAATTCCATGTATGTATAATATATACGCATAAAATATATACGCAATAAGTAATAAAGTTCGAAAAGAAAAAAAAAAAAGAAAAGAAATATCTCTGACGTATTAATCCTATGTTATTAGCTTACAACTTATTAATAGATTATTAATGACTGGATTATTACAAGAGATTATTACTACGTTTATTTATCAATTTCGATAATTAGAAAAATTCGTAAGATTTAATTGCCAGTATATTATTTGTATTCTGTGTAAATAAAAAAAAAAATGATTGCAAAATTTACTAGTAAATTTTTTATTATTATTATTATTATTATTATTAGTTTTCAATATAATTCGATATTTGATTTATCACAGGAAAAAGTGAAACGTTTTCTTCAAGATCATCCTCTCTTTCTCTTTCTCTTTCTCGAACGAGTCGATAAATCCGTCTCAAGTATCCGTTTAAAGAAAAAAAGAAAAGGAAAGGAAAGGAAAAAAAAAAAAAAAAAAATTAAACCAATATCCGGATAGCATATCGTTTCCCATAGGATTCTTTTTACTTGCAAACGAAGTTCAAGCAGAGAATAAAAAGCCACTTTGTTTTTCGAATCGATGTCAAGCGTTCGAGGAAATATAACAGAGTATATCTTTCCCTTCGTTCGAGGAATTCTTCACGAGTCACAAAGGGTTAAAAGGTATTATTAAATATTCCGTTGGTACAAGTGGGGAAAGCCACTTAATCGGTAAGGGAGAATCGATGCGGTCACCGATCGATTTTACTCGTTTCAAGCCCCCAATCGTTCCTCCTCAATTATCCTTATTTTTCTTTCCGATTCCTTCCTCCATTTCCTGTTATCGTTATCCTCGCTATCGGCTACCCAATAATATATATATATATATATATTCAGGCAGATTTAATCACTTATCCTATCGTGTACGATTTTCCGGATTCTCTCCGGATATACTGTTCTCGACATCCTTTGTTACAATTAATTACGTTTCACTCGTCATAATTTCTTCCCTTTGTTCAAACAATGAATGAACGAAAAATCTCCACTCTCCCCTCCCCCATTTTTTGAAAAACAAATTTCAAATCAAATCGCGGAAACGAGGAAAAGATACAATGTCATTCTAATTAATCATGCAAATAATATTATTCAAATTTTTACACGCTCTTCATAATTCACACGTGTACTCAATTCAATTCATTATTCCATACGCGTATTACATACGAGATAAAAATATCTAGAATATTTCTTCTTCTTTTTCTAAACCGTAACAACACGTAACAACTTCTCGAGACGAAATACAAGTGAGATGAATCGAGCACGAGCGAACGGAGTGGACTCGTTACGCAACAACGCGATCCGTCGATGGGCGAAAAAGAAGGAGGGGAGAGGACGGAAGAGGAGGAAGAGGGAAGCGGAGCGGGAGGCAGATGGTGGATAGGAAGGATGTGCGGTTTTCCACATGTGTCGGCCGGTCGTCGAGGCCTGCTCGCCGCAAAACCGCGCCCGTTCGAGGAAGAAAGCCAGACCCCACGCTTCGAAACGCGTACCGGAAGTCACGACGACACGAGGAAGGGACACTTTGCTTAAGAAGGGATCGGTGGCGATTTAAGGACAATTAAAGTGAACACGTGTCGGTGCACGTCACACACAGGTGAGAAGTTTCGACACGAGCAAGGGTTACTTACGGATCAAGGATTATGGTAATTGAGGGAAATCGAGCGCTTGCCCGAGTCGCAGAATGACTTTGCGAAGTTTGCGGAAATTCATTGGTTCGCGTGTTCGCGACTCGTGGAGATTTTGATCGATCGAGATATCGATTAAGTGGTGTCGTTTCTTGGACCGTGAGGTTGCCGTTTCGAGACGTTTTTTTCAAAATTATACGAACGGAATAATAATTGTAAGATTGTTTTGAATATATTCGTGATATATAGGTTTGTTCTTTTTTTAATATCGATCGATAATTAAGTTGTATAGCCTAGTCAAGTTCAAGCTTTTTATAAGAAAGTAGTGGAGTTGAATTTCTATTTTTTTTTTTTTTCCATTATTTATTCACGAATAATGGAGTTTGGTAACAGAGGAGAGGCGAGTTCGGAGTCACAGAAACTTCTCCGTACATTTTAAATTAATCTAAAATTCTCTTTTTAGATTAACTTTAGAGCTCTGATTTCAATGGGACGCGACTTGAAACGAATATCAATCGGTCAGTGAAGCCGACAGGGAGAAATAGCCGAGTAAGACGTAAAAGAAGACGAACCGAGCCAGTATGATAACAAGTTTCCTACAGTTTCCTCTTATTTTCACTCCTTTTTTTTCCAGGATATAATGCGTTCGGCGCATCTCGAGAATTATTTTTCCAATTTTCTTTTTTTTCATTCGCACGGCGAAAAAATAAATTCGATGATAATTTTTTAAAATAAAAAATATACGATTTGATTCAATTTACGAATTTACGAATTCCTTTCCCCCTTTTCCCCCTCTATTTTTCAACATTTTTCATTCTAACATCATTAGTTCGTAAATTGTCCTAGATCGTCTTTGGAGTTTCGCAAATTAAATTCGCGAACGCGAATTTTCTCGCGTAATTTTTCATCCGTAATTCGATGACGAATGGGAGGAGCGGACGAAATTTCACGGCACCTCGTTTACTCGAGAAGGAAATTTTCTCGTGGACAGTCTAATATCGCTAAAAGCTTTTTAATAAACAGTCTTTGAGCACATTGGTGCGGCTGGTTGGTTGCGTAAGAATACAGGCGCGTGTAGGGGGTTACTCTCCCTCCCTCTTTTCCCTCACGTTTCTCCTTCTGGGATGACGAGACGAAGACACTAGAAAGAGAATTCAATGGCGTGCTGAAAGATAGATAGATAGATGGAGAGGAATTCGGTGGAAGCACGCGAGGAAAGATCGTGGGATGGAAGAGGAGGGGCAAGAAACGAGACGAAAGAAGGAGCGTGGACAGGATTAAAGCGAGAGTATTGTTACCGGTAACCGTGTCTCTTTGTCGGAGAGAACTTGAGTCGGTAATAAAATAAAAAAGGAAAGGAGATGGGAAAATCGAGGAACCGAGAAAAGGAGAGGGAAGAAAATGGAAAACGATGACAGAAGAAAAATGAAATGGGGAACGAAATGAACTGCGAGACTTACGCATAGGATGCGTAAAATAGATACAGAGGTAAAGAGAAAAACGGCAAGGGAGGAATAACGAGGAAAATGGGATTAATAAGATGGAATCAGAGGATTTTCGAAATATCTAAATTGAAACAGAGAAATTGAAACTAACTAGATGGGAAGAAAAAAGAGTGAAATTTAAAAAAAGCGATAACAAAGAGAAACAAACGGGCAAGAAAAATAACGGTAGAGAATGTCGTGTGTTGGTCTAGAAAAAAAGAAAATAAAAACAGCGACAATAAATAGGATAGAAAAGACAAAATGAGGAGAAGGAGAGAAAAGAAAAAAAAAAAAAAAAAAAAGTATATCGGAATGAAAGTACGAATCCAAAGTTTATCTTTCGCTTAACAATCACCGACAGAGGGTGGTTTGCACGGGACGAAGGGATGGTTGGAACACCGTATGAAAATGCAAGCTGCTACAAGAAGGTAGGAGGGGAGAGAGGGTGGGGAAGAGGAAACCGGAGAGGAAAACGGTCGCTGTTTATTTTACGAAGTAGCTAAAACATACGATATCCCGACAAAGTGATTCCCTTTTCGCGTTTTCGACTTTCTTTTTCACTTCTTCCTCGTTCAACTCCATTCCTCTCTCTCTCTCTCTCTCTCTCTCCTCTCCCTCCCTCTTCGAACCTCGTCTCTGTTTTTAGTTTTCTCCGTTTTATCATCCCCCGACGTTCCCTCCCCCACGTTTCCAACAGCTTTTCCACGAAAAGCATAAATTACGCTCGAGAATTATGGCGAAATGACACGCGAGATCTCGTTCGCTTATCTCTCTCGACTTCGCGCCACCCTTCCAAGAGAAAGAGAAGGAGAGAGAAAAAGAAGGGGCGGCGACGATCAGGATCACTCTCGCACGAGCATTTTTTACGTCCGTCATCGGCCGACCTTACGTCTCGAGAAGGGTGTTCTCGCGCGCGCGCGCGTGCGTGTGTTACATAATTACCTTAGGAAAAGGAAACATGGAGCGAAGAAACCCGATTACGCTCGCCCTCGACGTGTCATTTCGCGTTGTTTCTCGCGCTTGCAAACCGCGAGGCCGCGTCCTGGACTTGTATAACGATGCGAATGAACGAGCAATCGAAACGCGCTTCCACGTATCCGTTCTCGTAATTTCGAGGTTGATCTCGAAATGAAGATTGATCGAAAGAGGGGCGCGAGAGATTTATTCCCGTCGAGATAAAGGATTTCCGATTTACACGGGGAATACGGGATTATAAGAGAGTAACTCTTATAGAACTCTTGTGAACTTGAAGGAATACCGATTTCTTCGATTTTATCTGGTTTATCTCTTGTGATCCGAATAGAATTAAACTGGAATTTTCGCGATGGTTCGACGTCGATAAGTAAAAAGTTTCGATCGAATAATTCTTCGTGATGGATTGTGAACTTAATACACGATTCACTTGTTAACCTTGTATTTTTCGAGTGCAAAGATATAAAGTATGCAAAGATTAAGACAAATAAATAGCAAATATTACAAAGAGATTTGGCGATCCGCGAATTTCCCCGCAAATGAAGTTCGGAGACGGTGAGTTTCGGAAGAGTAGCAGTGTGAATACGTGGAAGAACACACGGATTTCCTTTCGAACCGATAGCATCGAAGTATCACCCCCTCTCCTCGAAAAGTTGGTCGTTAAAGGAACGATTTCGTTCGTTTTCTCGACGCCCCACCCGGAAATAGCAGGAATTCATGGTTAACTCGCTTCTTCGACTTCCATTCTCCGTTTCCTACGTGGAATTCGACACCTACGTCCATCTGACTCGCCGAGATGGACACAATGAGGGGTATTATACGATTAAATCCGTCTTTGCTCTAATTCGAAAGATGAAATAAACGGAAACGTCGTGGAAAACGTGCTTTGAGAACACAAGTGAACACGGCAACCGCCAAAACATGTTATATATGGAATTACTTAAATCATTTG